TCCAACTTCCCCTCGAGCTGCCGCCGCAGGCCTGCTTCACCTCGGCCGCAACACGCGCGGAACAAAAGTCGTGGCGGTGGGTGGCCGTGCGGTGGCGCTGCCCGCGGGAAACTTACCGGCCGCAGTCGACGCTAGTTTTGCGGCGTCACGCATTTCTAGCTTCCTCCGCTCCCCAGACACCGTGAGGCCCTCTTTTGCCACCTCCACGTACACCGGATGGCCTTTGTAGGCCATGTTGTGCAGCCCCGTCAGCTTCTCCGCAAACCGCTTCGAGGCCTCCCCGTCCTCCGTGCACTCCAACAGAAAATACGGCTTTCGTGACGCCCTCACAAAAACACACTCAACAGGGGCATCCGGACGAAGGAGCATTGCGGATACCGTCCCGTCGCCATCGTCGCCCGCAGCATACCAAGAATGGATACCCAGGGCCTCTTTGTGCTCACGCAAAAGCCCATTCACCAGTTCGCCGCGGCTACGAATCTGCGCAGAGCGAATAAAGAGTGTAACTCTCTTGGGGCCTTCCTTCCCAGCCTGTCTCTCGTGCGTTTCTGTGTCACTTTCGCGACGCGCAACCTTCGCAGGGGACTCCGCCGAGGAAGCTCCCTCCCCCGCGTTGGATGTGGGCCTCACTCGTTTCATTCGCTTGTGGATTTTCCTCCTCGCGGCAACGCCGTGCGCAGCGGAGTGCGGCCGGCACCAACCCTTCCCCCGCCTGCTCCTTTTTGCTTTCCTTCCTGTCCCCTGCCCTCCTCCTGTATGGACGGCAGCGGCACGCACTAGAGAGAACAACAAGGAAGAGAATCCGCAGACGCCGGTGTACGGCTGCGCCCGGCCGTCGACAGCGGCGGCGGCAGAGTAGCGGAGACGCACACACGACTGCGGAGTCAAACGCGCAGCAGCTCCTCCAGCGCCTTGTAGCGCCCTCGCAGCTCGGCAACCCTCCAGCTGAGGTCCAAGTCAAGGTAGCGTTTGCCCTTCAGCTCTTGGATTCGGGCCTCGTCCTCGTCCAGTTGAGAGAGCAGCGACCAATCCCGCAGGGGGTGGAGGCCTTTGACCCACCTGGCGGTGTCAAAAGCGCCAATCTTCTCCTCCTCCAGGTACTTCTCCTCCACGGTGACACGCACCCCGCCAATCTGCTTCGAGTACAGCGTATTTAGGACCTGCGTGGAGCGGTACGGCATGAGGTCCCCCAGTGGTGTGGTCACAGGACGAAATCCCCCGTCCGAATTCAAAATGGAGCGCCGGAACACGATGCTGAAGCGCTGCTCCTCCACAGGAAGAACCATGTGAAAATAGACGTATCGAGCAGGCCCACTCATGATGTAGAGACTACCGTCCGTCACTACGGTATCCAACTCCTCCCCACTTTGCACGTGCACAAAGCGCAGCAAGGCGTTTGCGCCAAGAGAAACTATTGCAAAGATGTCATCGTAGACGAAAAGGTTATCGACATGTGCGCGGATAAAGTCCCCGGGCTCGTACAGGTTTGCGGTCTGGTTATTTAGCCACCCAGCTGGCACAATCCCATCTTGCTCCATGCGACTTATTAAGGACAAAAAAGAACGCGGCGGCAGCGGCGGAAGCTGAAGGCGGCCATCACTGAGTCTGATGGACGCAGATCTTTGCGTGTAAACGTCAACGTAGCCGCCCCGCAGCGCCATTTTCTCCCCCAGCTGCACGTACTCCGGGAAGATGGTAAGCCCAAAGTCCTCCCCAAACGGCTGATAAGGCTCACCCGAGGCCAAATAGCCAAGACTGCCGCCGCTCAGGAGATGCTTCGCCCCATTCCACAACCGCCGCATAAGGTTCCTCTCCAACTCTTTGACAACAAGGCACAGGAGATGAAGCGGGGGGGGTAAAAAGGAACGAAAAAAAAATGACAAAAAAGATTTAAAGAAAAAGAAGGAGTGCTATTTTGAAATATTCCCGCCACGAAAGTAAAGTCACACAAATAAAATGAACAGATATCATTGGCCTCGCCTTGAGGCACAAATTCAACATGATGGAGAATTAGCTTTCTTGCATATTCACTCTCCCAAAGACAAGCCTCCGGCGCCTCATTGTCGCTGTCTCACCCCCCACGGAGCTATTCTGCTGAGTAATGCAACTCTCGACGCCCGATCGGCATCTCCGACTGCGTGTCATTCTTTCCCGCACGTAGTCCGGCCCATGTGGCAGGCGCACGCTACTAGGACAAATAACGAGCTCCACTACGGTATACTTGTGCCGGGGGAACACCTTCACTCCCCCGCACACGTCCTCGGAAATCAAACATCCTAACGTCTCGTCCAATAAAAGCCTTCCTTTACCAAACATGGCCGTAGGATATACACAATGATGGTCGAGCAGCATGTATCGCCCATTTATTTCGACAGGGCAGTACTGCGCAATAGCAAACATTTTTTCCATTAAAAGCATATGTCGTTTTAGGGCGCAGTGTTCCAATACACAGTCTTTTGAGGCTACTTCAATTATCCCCGGCCCCTCGGCAGTTGTGCACAATGAGCACCAAAGGAATCCAGAGGTATCCTCATAACGTATCCCTTGACTCCTAAACTGCTCAGCCAATACCTTCCCTGACATCACAATTGCCTTCAAAAAGGGCAAACCCCTCACACAAACAGCAACCATCAAGTACACAGTAGGAAAAGGAGTTATAAATGAGTAGTGAATTTATCCCCCAAACACGCACACACATACACACACACACACACACCCAGAGAACTCTTCCACAGTTCACTGATCCCTCGGCCAGCCCAGAAACTAAAATAGATATTAATTCCCCTTCACGACATCACAAAGACGGCTGAACCCGCTGAAGTGCCTTCTCAAAATGGCAAATCTCCAGCGGGGGCACAACACCGTCTTCGACAATTTCATGCAGAGGTATCAAAGCTGCGGCTTTGCACAGTTCAGTCAAATCCGAACCGGTGTAGCGCGCCGTTTTTGCCGTAACAAACTCAATTATATTCTCCTTATTGGGATTATCCTTCAAATCATGTTCCAGAAGAACTTTCAGAATTTTGCGACGGCATTTCTCATCTGGAGGGGGTACCTCTATTTTAAGAGGCAAACGGCGTCGTATGGCTTCATCGACAAATTCAGGTCTGTTTGTTGCCCCAATAACAACAATTTTCGCATCGCTTTGAGCAATGCCATCCCAGCAAGTCATGAAGATTGTTTTGGCATTGTTGTGCGGGGCAGAATCAATAATATTTCGAAATCCAAGCAGAGCATCAATTTCATCAACAAAAATAACGCAGGGTGCGATCTTATCCGCAAGCGAGAAAACAGCTGCAGCATTTTTTCCGTTTCGCCAACCCACTTTGAAAAAAGTGACTCAGTTTTCACGTTGATAAAACTGCAGCCAAGCTCCTTTGCCAAGGCACGCGCCAAGAGTGTTTTCCGGTCCCAGGACGGCCATACAGCAGAACACCTTTAGGGTGTGATCGCAACGTGTTCCCGGCGAACAATTCCGGATGCGTAAACGGCCATACCACATGGTCCCTTAGTAGCGATTTAGCGTTCTCTAGGCCCCCAACTTGAGAAAAATTTTCTTTGATTTTGGCAGGGTCAATAACACCTTCAGCAATAGCCGCCTCAGGACAAGTCATGTGCACAGAGCGGCCCCCAATAATGACCTCCTTCTTGCTAAAACCGTAGAGGTACGCAAGCTGACGTGTCGCATATAATAATGCTGGTAGAGATATCCAGAATGAAATTGGGATTTCTTTCAATTGTTTCGCCACGTATTCCCCCAGACACTTCAAAGCGTCTAAGACGGTACTTCTTACAGAAACAGCCGTGACTTGAGCCATGACTGCACCGCCAGCTCGAGTGCGAGGCCCCCGAAAAATACTTCGTTATATACGTGTGTATCTACTACACAGAGAAAAAGGGCAATAGAGTAGCAAAAGGGCAAATATAATACAAATAACTTGGGGAGTGGAATTACTTCCCTGCCACTCACCCAACCTGGCAGTAGCAAACCCAAGCACTTACTGCCTCAACAAGACACACACACGTAAAAGTCAGAGGAAATCTCAAATACGGACAAGTTTAAAAAAAGATAGGAAAT